GGGAGGCGGCGGCTGCGCTCATGTGCAGGCTTGGCTGCCGAATGGAGCTGCTGCAATCTAGGGCTCTTGCAAAGGTGCCCACAGCTCTGAGGGAGAGATTGAGAAGTCAAGAGGGAAAGAAGAAGGCATGAGTGGGCTGAGGAACTAAGCCAAATAAGGAAAACACCCATGCCCCCCAAAAAAATCAAGTCCACCTCTGAGAACTCGATGCAAGATGTCCACACCGCCCCCAGCCCATCTTCCCCATCCACCCACCCCTCACCGGGCCACCACGAGAAACTGATCAATCTGCCGGTCTGTGAGAGGGTTGTCTGGGTCCCAGACCTTCATCTCCATCTTCTGCTGGTTCCGATTATCAGATTCTCCTGGGGAACAGGGCGATGGCAACATCGGGGACAGGGAAAGGAGGATAAGTGTCTTGACACTCCCAACAGCACCTCGTTCCTCCTTGTCTCCTGCCTGGATTCTATCAGCCATCCCAACTCTCAGACTTCTCTTCCCAACTGTGCTCATTTGCCCCTCGCAGGCTCCCAGGGTCCCATCCCATCAGGGTGGAGCATAGAGCCATGAAGACTGTGCAACGTACAGCTCCATGGCCCACCATTCACAGACACTACCATGTTCAATGACCCGGTGGCCATACAGTCTGTCCTGCCGCTTACCCTCTGCCAGGCGATCTGGGATCTCAGCTTGGTATTTGCAACCAACTCTGATCTCCCCCTGATCAGCTAGAAGTGTCTTCTGCACAGGGTCAAACACCAGTGAGTAAAAAAAACAGTCCTGGAGATGGGAAGAAAAGGTAAGCAGGCAGCAGTCCTCAGAGGCAGGGGGCAGTGGGGAGGATCCAGAGGTCCCAAGACAGGCAGTCTGTCAACCTCTACCTCATCACAGTTCTACTTTCCTCTGGCCTCCTCTTGGGGCATACCCACCCTGCTCCTTCTCCCACCACCTCTTTCTCACCTCCTTTTCCAAGTACTGGCTCAAGATGTCAGTCTCATTCAAGAGGGTCACACTGCATTTCCCCCTACAGAAGAGAGGTCCGAAAACCCTGGGTGAGCTCCTCATTCCCTGGCCACAGCATCTCCAATACACCACCCCCTCCTCTCCAGCTTCTAAAGAAGTGCATGCAGGCCACGGTGGCCCAGACTGTCCTATACCGTATGTGGGTGGCTGGTAATGATTCAAACTGCCGAGAAAGAAAAAGCTCCCGGTGCTTCAGCTGATGTCGCTGCTGCTCCGACACCCCTGGCTGCTTTGATTCCTCCTCAAACTCCCCTGGGAGATGAAGGAGGAAGAAACCAAGTCAGAAACTAAATCAGAAAGAAGCCACCTCGGAAACTCTAACCCAGGGAAAACACTTCCTATTCCAGCTGGCTTCTTCACATTCCCCAGGCATCTGCCTCTCATACCCTCAGCCCACCAGCTTTCCCGCTTAGCCCTCTTCCCCATTATAGGGCTCCCAACTCGCCATCGCTAATGCCTTGGGAATAGCTGCTGAGAGTGCAAAGAATGCCACAGACACCCATCCCAAACCCAGGTGCCAACGCTCAGACGCCACTCATAAAGCACAAATCTGCCTACGTTAGGCCCGGCAAGAATATTACACTCGTCTCCCTTGCTAAACCAACCTGAGGTCCAGAAACCCAATAAGGTGAAAAATCATCACACAAGGTCGTGTTTACCAGTTCTTCTTTTCAGATTTCAGGAGTCTCTTTGCTCTTAAACAAAATGCAACCCTAACTACCCTTCACTGTCCGCTTGGCTAACGATAGTTTGTTCATGGGGCTTCCAAGGACAGTACCTCTCAAGCCAGTGCCAATACCTTCTTCCCCAGGCACTGCAACTTTGCCCTGAAACCTTGGTGGAAAGGGTTAACTTGGCTGGGGGCCAACCAAAGAGGGAGGGGGCAGGACAGCCACAGGCCCAGGCTCATTGGTGCATTGTTCCCAACCTCAGGGAGAAGGGGGGGGAGGTGGGGGTGCCGCAGGCTCCACCCCTCGCCTGTGTGCTCCGGAAACCCTGTGCTAAGGCAAGGGGGGACCACACCCCCCCACCCCTTCTGATTGGACAAGGCCAAGGTCAGCCCCTGCCAGTCGGGGCTGGAAACCCCAGAGGGCCAGAGAACTTGGTTGGTAGGCCTAGCTCCTCCTTAACCCCTTCATGCCCAAAGTCGCCTGAAAGAAGGAAAATAATTTCAGAAGGAGAAACAAGAGGAAGAGGAAAGAAAGCCAAAGCAGGAAAGGAAAAAGAAACAAAGGAAAACTGAAGGAAATATGCTTTTTAAAGGAATATGAAGGCATAAAAAGGAAGATAAGGCAAAAAGGAAAGATGTAAAATGGAGCAGTGAGAAGACAGAACAGGTGAGAAAGAGGAAAAAGGGCAAGAAAACTTCCCTAACTGCCTATTCTCTCCCTTCAATGTATTCTCACTACCTTGTGATCACAAAATTAGGCTGCTTCCCTGTTACGCAGGCTTCTAAGTACAAGCTCTTCCTCTTCAACCTTGACCTTTACAGTCACCACGCATTGTCTCAATGTACCCAAAACTGTCCCCCAAGGGTCTTGCTTCTCTAAACCCCTTCCTCATCCCCTATTTAAATACTATCATTTCTTTTACACCCATCATTCAGATACACACAGTCACACACAGGCCATTTTCTGGCTTTCCTTATCTTGGTCTCTCCACCCTGCTTCCAACCCCAACGTGTAAGAACAGGCCTCCCTCCACAGACCAGGCATTTCCCACCCCCAAACTCACACCCCTGCTTTGGGCATGCTACCAGGGGAAACACCTGCAGGGACATGCCCCGGCCTCAGATCATGGGGAGGGGGGAGTCGGGGGGGGGTGGGGGGGTGGGGGTGAGGTGGGGGTGCAAAGACACTCACTGGCATTGCTATCAGCCAGGCTGTTGAGGCTACTAGAAATGTCCCTTCGCCGGAAAAGGCACACAACCTTTGCCTCCACATTTCCATTTGCAGTCTAAGGGGATAAAAAATGGCAGTTAAAATTGGTCATTTAAAGGTGGAAACATATAAAGAAGAAACTAACAACAGTGAATAAGGTTCTAAGGGGTGTAAGTAGAAAAACCCAAGAAATCATGGATAAAAAGACTTACACTTAAGGACAGACTTCCAAACTTTTTTTTCCCCAGACTGTCCCTTTCCTTAACCCCCAAGAGATAGACCAGGAAAGCTCCACTCAACTCTCAAAAGCCTTTCCTGAATACATCCAATGCATGAATGAATGAATATGAATGGGCACTTAGGATAGGGTTGGTTCCCCACCCCCACCCCTCTGGCTTCCGCCTGAAGTTAGTGACCTCAGAAGAAAAAAAGACACCCCCCCCGGGGGGGAGGGGGAGGCAGGACAGGGGTGGGACTCTGCTCCACTCACCTTGTTGAGCTCCTCAATCCGTCTAACCAGGTAAGGATTGCTAGAAGAATTTTCAAAATAGACGTAATCTGTAGGAGGAGGTGGGGAAGCATCGGTAAGATCAGAGGTGATGGGAAAGACTGAGCACCAGGGTAGGAGAGAAAAGCAGGCCCGAAAGGACGAAAAGGATAAGAGTCCAGGTAGAGAGGACGCTGAAATGTGGAAGAGGAGAGCCTACGAGAAAACAAGGGGTTTCCCCCACCACCACCCCTGACCACCTAGTTCTTTTACCAAATCCTTCGCTCAAAAGTGAGCCTTAAGGAAGAGACGAGAAGCAGGGGGTCCCCCTACAGTCCCCACAACTCAGCGGTGGAGTTGCACCCCAGTCTCGGCCGAGCGAGCAATTGTTGGCTCCAGCGCAGGGGCCCTCACCTTTTAGAACCCAGGCGCACAATGACGCCCGGGGGTTGGAAACCTCCCGTCGGCTCCCGCTCAGGTGGCAGAGCGGTCGCCTCGGCCCCCCGCGCCCGCTGCCTGCCCTGTCAGTTCCCTCCGATCCACTTTCCCAGGCCCCACTCGCCGACCCAGGGGCCCCCGAGGCAACCCTGAGAGTGCCGTCGGGGCTGCCCGCAGCCTCTCCCGGGGCCGCGGCGCCTTCCCCGCACCCTCGCTCCCCGTGTTCCCGGTTCCGGTTCCGGTCCGCGCTCGGGACCACGCCGCCCCAGGCGCGGCTCCCCGCGCTGCCGGCTGCCGAGCCTCTCCGGCCCCGGACCCCGACCTCTCCCGCCCCAGATCCCGCAGCCCCTGCGCCCGGTACTCACCCCCCACCCGGTACATGTTGGCCGCCATGGCCGTTCCCGCCGCCGCCTCCGGCCGCACAAAGGGGTCCGGGAGGCTCGCGGGGGCAGGGCTCGGCTCGAAGCGAAGCCCCAAGCGCGGGGCTGGCGCTTCGCGGAAGTCTCGGTCGGGCCCGCGCAGCCGGCACCTCCGCTGCCTCAGCCGTCGCGGTTCATCCCGGCCCGCGCGTCGCCGCCGCCGCTACCACCTCACGCCCGGGACGCCGAGGCCAGCGCCGGTCCGCTCGGCCTCTTCCGGAACGAGCTCGGTTCCCGCCGGACCGGAGCCAAGCTCCGGCTCCCCCCGCCGCCGCTCGCCGAGCCCCACCAGCCGTTGGGCTCTGCCGGCCGCCGGGAAGGCTTGCCCTGCCCGCCTCGGGGGTTCGCCTCCTTCCGGAACACCTTCGGCCGATCCGGAGAACAAGGCCCGGCTCTCGGCTCAGGTCGGAGAGCGAGACCCCGGAGATCGGCTACTTCCGGAAGAGATTCGGCTCCCTCCGGCCAACCGCGGCCCGGCGCTCGGTTATTTCCGTTGCAGCTCGGCCCCTCCTCCGAGGGCGGGAGAAGAGTTGGGCTTAACCCTCTCCTCGCCGGAGGCCTGCAGCTCCTCCTGCGGCCCCGAAAGACTCGCGCGCCTTTGCGCTCGGCCGGGTTATTTGCAAGCGGCTTTAACTGTTATTTGCATGAGTGGCCTACGCTCCCCTACCCTTTCCAAACTCCTCTTTTTCTTCATCGCCACCCCCACAGGGCCCCGGAGGCGCCCAGCCGCGCCCCACAAAAGGACTGGGAGGCGACTTTGCTTTTGGTTTATTGCCCCTCAGCAGGCGGCGGGAGTCAGGGCCCAGGCTGGGTCGGCCCGGCTCAGCCAGCGGGTCTCTACAGTGTGTGCGGGGGTGCCATTCGCCCCCTCCAGGGAAACGAGCGATCGGGAATGTCTCGAAGTCCAGGAAAGGTCGGCCCCTGGTCCTGGGGGCTTCGGGTGGGGCGGAGCCGCGCCGCAGGGCCGGTGGGTCCCCTCCCGCAGCGGTCAGACGTCGAGAGAGGAGGCGGGGGACAGGGAGGGGGTTCGAGAGGGCGTGGCGGGCGCCAGCCCCGCGCCCCCAGCGCCCAGCACTCGCCACTGGAAGATGCTGGCGTCCTTGCCGCCCAGCGAGATGAGGTGCGAGTCGTCGTGCGTGAACCGGACGCTGGTCACGTGGCTGCCGTGGCCGCCGTACACGAGGCTCGGCGCCTGGGCGGGAAGGAAGACCGAGTTGCGGCGGCCGCGGAGCCCCGGGCCCGCCCGGCCCCCAGAGGCCCCGGGAGGCCTCACCTTGGCTCGCGCGCACGGGTACTGGAACAGGTGCACTTTGCAGAAGTCGTCGGCCACGGCCACCACGCGTTCGTTGTGGGAGCGGCACAGGGAGTTGATGTCGGTGCCATCCGAGCCGTCTGGCCACACGCCTAGCACGGCGGCCGTTCTCAGTGCGGCCTCCTCCCCGTGGCCACCCACGGCCCAGGGCCGCACAGTTTCCGACGCTCAGGCAGCCGCGGCCACCCACCGGCCGCGTTCCAGGCAATCCTTCCCAGTCCCGACAGCCCAGGGCCTGAGGGGCCTCCCCGGCTGGATCTGCCGGTTTCTTGACGCCCACCCCTCGACACATGCTCTGCATTCCGAGCCCAGGGCGGGCTCCACCTTGCCCCCCACCCCACCCCTCCCGCAAGGTTCCAAGGCCCTGCTCACCATAGACGTGGAAGCCCAGCACGCAGGTATAGGTGGCCCACTCCCGGTCTCGGCTGTCATAGCGATTCCTCAGGAGCTTGCAGCCTCCAACCACGTCCCCTGGGGAGAGAGAGCCCACCCAGCTCAGCTCAAACCCTGCCCTCAGTCGGGAAGACACCGGGAAGGGCAGGCTGGAAAGACCGGCCTGAGGTAGTGGCATGTGATCTGGTCACCCTGGCAGCCCCTAGCCCAGGACAAAACCCAGCCCCATGTGCTTCCTGAATTCTTGCTGAAGTTCTCCTAACAGCTTCTCATCAGTTCCTCCTCCCTGGATAAGTCAATCCCTTCACACCTGCCCTGAGACACTTGTCCAAAACCATCTCTTCCTAGTACATTTTTCAACTCCCTCAAGTCCTCGTGCAGAAAGACACGGTGTAAAACTGTGGGGGGGTTTTCCAAATCACAGTATTTCTCCTGTGTGTACAATTCCAACCCCATCTCCCTCTCCCTATGTAACAGCCCCTCCACCTGGAGTTCCCTACATACTCTCCTTCAACCGCTCCCAACCAGCAGCCCCCCTCAAACAAATAAAACCCACCCGGTTACCCGTTCCCCATGCTCTCCCCTACTTTCACTCACAGTAAAGGATCTCATAGTCCCCGGAATTGGACATGATGAAACTCCCATCCTTGGACCAGTCAAGATGAGTGATGAAGCTGGAGTGACCCTAGGAGCAAAGGTCAAGAGACTAAAAATGTAGCTTCCGTTTCCCCTCCCCAGGTCTCCCTTAGTGCATCAGACCCCTTCAAGGAGTTTACCTGCTATGGCAATGCCCCACCCTCCACCCCAGCTTCCTCACCACACAGCGGCCAAAGCGGCTGGACTTGGCACCATCACTGGAAACGCTATAGATGTAGATCATGTTGTCATGGGAACCGATGGCCAGGTACAACCCATCTACAAAGACAGTCACTCAGAGAAGGAAGGGCCAGGGACAGGTGTGGGTCCGGGGTCGGGGAGGCTCCCACCTGGGCTGTACCGGACCACTGAGAGCTGCTCATTGCCGTCAGTGATGTCCGACACGATCTCCCGGGTCTCTGTGTCCAAAACCAGCCACCTGGAAGGGAAGGGGTGGAAAGCAGGTGTGAGGTTACCTGTCCTGGGCAAGGTGGAGGTTGGCAAGTTGGAGAGTCTCAGAGACACTGGCAGAACAGCTGTGATGAAGACAAGTTGCCGCTGCATCTTTTTTTTTTTTTTAAGATTTTATTTATTCATTTGACAGAAAGATAGAGCACAAGCAGGCAGAGAGGCAGGCAGAGGGAGAGAGAGAAGCAGGCTCCCCGCTGTGCAGGGAGCCTGATGTGGGGCTCGATCCCAAGACCCCAGGATCATGACCTGAGCCGAAGGCAGCCGCTCAACCGACTGAGCCACCCAGGCGCCCCACATCTTTTCTTTTTTTAAAAAAGAGAGGGTTGGGCCGCCTGGGTGGCTCAGTCGGTTGAGCCCCTGCCTTTGGCTCAGGTCCTGATCCCAGAGTCCTGGGATCGAGCCCGGCATCGGGCATCGGCATCTCGGGCTCCGTGCTCAGCAGGAGGCCTGCTTCTCCCTCGGCCCCTCCCCCTCCTCATGCTTTCACTCTCCCTCTCTCTCTCTGAAATAAATAAATAAGATATTTAAAAAATAAAAGTAAAAAAAGAGAGGGAGAGTGGGGAGAGGCAGAGAGAGAATCTTAAGCAGGCTCCATGCCTAGCGTAGAGCACACGCAGGGCTCCATCTCACTACCTTGAGATCATGACCTGAGCTGAAATCAAGAGTCGGACGCTTAACCAACTGAGCCGCCCAGGTGCCCCCCTCACTGCATTCTTAGGCTAGGAAACCGGAAGGGGCTAAGGAGAAATAAAGGCTGAGGGGCTGAGATGCCTCTAAGAAAGGAGTACAAGGGCCGAGTAGGAGGACCTTATGGAGTCGTAAGCCTGTCTCTTCCCCTTGTTAGCCTCTCCCATACCCCTCCTATCCACACCGCTACTCTATCCTAAGCTGCCACCTCCTCCACTCCAGGCCCCGAGGAGAGAGTGGTTGAGTGATGGTGGTTGCCACAGGAGAGCAGGGGAGGCCCGGGCTGCGGAGAAAAGCACTGGGAAGGTGCAGCTGGGGCTCCCGAGCAGGCAGCAGCCACACTCCTCCCCGCGCCCCCCCACACACCCCATAACCGGGGAACCCTTCCCATACCTCCTGCTTTCCCCTCCCAGGAATCCTGGCTCCTCTCACCTCCCTGTGTTCAGTCCTACGGCCACAACTGCCCCACTGGGGTGGAAGTCAGCACACAGACCCGTCTCCTGGGAGGGGGGAGAAGGTGAATTCAAGAAGATGCCTTTCTAGTGAAGGTTCCCGGATGGACACCTCGTCATGTTGGTAACACCAAAGCCTTCTCCTCCCAAGGATGAGACGGGGAGGAGAAGGACAGTAGACCTGGGGTGGAGGCAGGGTGTCACTGGAGCCTAAGTGAGGCGATACTCAAAATATTTAACAACCAGAACTGAGCTGGGAAGCTGTGCTGGAGAGTAACCATTTGTTGCTGGATCGAGGGGAGGTCTGGGGCTTCGGGGGCTTCGGGGGCAGTGCTCAGGGGGCACGGGAGGCATCTGCACAGAAGGATGGAGATTTTAGTAGCCCATATAGCCATACCAGTACAAACTGGCGGCCTCTGGGGAGAAGGGAAAAGGATGTTGGGGAAGGAGTGGCGGCCACAGAAGCCATGGTGGGCATGGCATTGGGGAGCCAGGGACGCGGGGCTCTACCTTGAGGTCAATGCTCCAGGCCAGCGCATGGCCCTCCCCATCCCACAGGCAGAGCTGCCGGTCGTGGCCACAGGTCAGGAAGCGGTTCTGGAAGGGATGCGTGCAGAGCCCCCAGAGCTCATCCGTGTGGCCCTGCAGCAGAGCGTGGGCTGTCACCTCTGCCCCGCCTCAGTAGCTCCTCCCCCACCCCAGGAGCCCTCGGCCCCCCAACCTGGATTACAGGGGAGAAGCCCTGGGCCAGATCTCCCCTCAGCAACGCATTCTTCGTGGTTCCCACCAGCAGCTCGGAGCCCAGCCCCTCTGCAATGGCCCGCACAGCCCCGAAGTGTTCAGGAATCTGTGGGATGGTGGTGGGAAGTCAGGGGCCCCCTGGCCATTCCTCTTCCTCCTCCCTCCCCCCGACCCCAGCCTGGCCCTCACCTCAGCCTCCTGGAAGGCCACCAATCCCGGCCCCCACTGGACCAGCCGGCGGTCCCGTCCACCACCACTCAGCACTGTCCCGTCCCGCCGGAGACAGAGGGCAAAGATGGAACCTTCATGAGCGTGGGCCTGGGCTACAATCCCGTAGGTCTCTGTTGGAAGACATGAGTGGGTCATGCTGTAGGGGTGCCAGGAAGTGGGGAACTCGAGCAGCCCTGGCCATCGCAACAGAGTAATAACTCCCAGCTATTGAGTACCTACTGAATACGGTCTCTGATCCTCGGCTCTTATTTTACCCAGTTTACAGACTGGACGACCGAGGCCCAAAGACGTGAGATAACTTCCTAAAGGCCAAACGAGCAGCGGCAAAACTGGAATGTGAACCCAGGATCTGGCAGACTCCAAAGCCCCAGCCCTGCCCCTTTGCCGTGGTGTCCCTACCCTTCTGGACGGCCCTCCTCTAAGAGGGCCTCCTTGGGGCCCACAGACAACTACCAACTCTCATGGTAAAAAAAAAAAAAAAAAAAAGGAAAATCCTCTTCTGTGTTCCCACAGACCCTCTGGGGTACTAGACTGCCCAGCAGCCACCGCCCCCAACCACGTACCTTTGGCCCCACCCCTGCCTGGGGTCCTGGAATCTGAGAGGCTCCGCCCCCAGGTCAGAATGTTCCCCTCTGAATCCCCAGTGAGAATGTCTCCATCCGGGAGGAACACAAAGCAAGGGATAAACTTGGGTTTCTTGTATTTCTGGGGGAGAGTCAAGCGGAGAGCAGGGGTCAGGGGAAAAGGCAAAAACTGAAAAGTCACGGACCGTCGCCGGGTGGGGAGTAGTAGGGTCCACAGTACTCAGACCACTCCTCCCCCGCTCTGTCCTGTCCTCCCGCACCACCCGGCACCCATCCGCGCCTCACCCCAAAGACACCCTGTTTCCGGGTGAGCGTCCCGTTCCCAGGAAGCCCTGCTCCTCCGCTCCAGTTCCAGAAGTGGACGTGGGATTTCCCGCTGGTGACAATGCAACTGCTGTCACGAGGGCTGAAGCCAACGGCCAAGACTGAGTCATTTGTACTCTGAAGGGAAGATAACCAGATTCAGCCACCCCAAGCCCTGAGCACCCTCACTTTACGCGACTCTTCAGTGTGCATCCTGACCGCTGGTCTGCTGAAGGCCCGAAACCCCAGGACAAGGCCTCCTTCCTTCCGGACCCAGACCCTGGTCCCCTAAGAGCACCCCTCCCAGTTACTCATGATGCCAGGCCCACCCTAATGCCTAGCACGCGATGGGTCCCTCGGGAGGCCAGGACTTCCAGAGCTCCCTTTCACAGCCTCAGGGAGGCGAAGAGGCTCGCTCCAGGTGACCCAGCCAGAAATGAAGTCAAGGTATGGGGAAGTCTGGAGCTTGCTGTGCACTCCACTGCTCTTAGCTCCCTAACCTCAGTGCCCCACCAGGCCACCCGGACTCGCTCCTCACCTTGATCTCAGCCAGCTTTGTGCCTCGGCTACAGTCCCACACTGACAGCATGTGCTCATTGGAATCATCCACCACACAAAGAAAAGCACCCTGATCCTGAGAACGGGGGACACATTGGAGGGGCTGAGTGAGGCCTAGAGGTCTGTGGGCTCACAGTCATTAGGCACGGGCTGCCATCGCGGGTTGAGTGGGCAGAAGTGGACACCTGTCCCTTTCTCAGGAAAACCGGCTGGGTGGGGTTCAGGAAGGCCAGAACTTCGGAGGCGTCCTGGTGAGGTGCAAGAAGGAGGTTCCTGGGCAAGGAAGATGGGGGGGGGCTCTAGAGGCTTTAGGGCCAGCTCACCGCCACTGAAAAGGCCAGGGCTCCCACACCCCGCTCGAAGGCCCCCAGTCCAATCTCCTGCAGCTTCAGCAGGGTCTCTGAGTCCCAGACGTGAACCACCGGCTGCAGGGGCTGGTGGAGTCAGAGAAGGGGTCAGGGACGTGAAGGAAAGCCAGGCTGGAGTTTCATCCTGTCTGCCTGGTGTTTGACTTTGGCCTTACCTTTCCATCTTTATCCACTCCAGCTGTCTGTCCTGAGGCTACACGAACACCATCGGGGTGGACGGCCAGGCTAAGTAGGGGAGGAGACGCTCTAGGGAAGGGGGTCGGTCTCTCATGACCCCCCAGGACACTTTCTCCATGCTTGGAGAGCAGCAAGGTGGCAGCTTCCCTCCTGCTTCTCCACACCCGCCCCGACCGTGTTCCTGCCAAGCCCACCATCCCCACACCTAGGAGCTGCCCACTCCCAGGCCCCAGGCCCCTCACCAGCGAACGCAGTCCGTGTGGCCCCGGTAATGTCTCTGGCCGCCACCTCCAGGACCCCCTGGGCCTCCCTCGGGCCGGTACAGCACCACCACACAAGCGATAAAGTAGACCACCTCCCCAGAGCGCAGCACAAACAGATTAGAGCGGGAGTCACGACCCCTGTACCCATAACTGGAGTGGGGATCCCGGTCAAGGAAAGGGTCAGACCAAGGGCAGAATGAGGAAGAGAGGGGGCAACGAAAGAGCTTCTGGCTGGCAGCACCATCGGCAGAGGATGGTAAGGGAGGGGTCAGAGGGCTTCCTGATCCCGCAGACTCAGGGGGAAACCGTAAAGGGGGGGGGGTTCCCAAGATGGGAAACGTGGCTCCCGTGGGACTGGAGGGGGCAGGATACACCCAGTCAAGGCTGAGGGTCTCCGGGGGTGGGCCGCTGGGCAGCTCCTCAAGGCTGCGGATGCCAGACGGGATGTACATGGTAATGGGGCGGCCACGAAGGAACATCTTCACTGAGATGCCTTCTACAGAGAAAAGGGGGGTGTCAACCACCACCCTGCAGCCTCCCTTTCAGGAAAGCCAGAGCAGAACTCTACCCACCACACCTCACAGGTCCCCCACAATAGCTCCTGGGGCTGTAAGCCCAAACCCCAAGTCCGTCATCCCAGTTCTTCCAGACTCCTCTGTACATACCCAAATTATAGTTGCTCCTCCGAGACCCAGGACCCCCGGGGCTGGAGAGGGGGTCTTTCCCCCCACGGCTGTTGGGAAGAGAGAAAAGCAGACGGATGGGGTCAGGTCCCAAGACCTAAGTGGGAAAGGGCAGGACACAAGAAAGGAGGTTCCTCTAGAGACCCAGTCACCTCTGCTGGCTTTTAGTCTGCATTCGGAGCATTCAGGGCCCCAGGTAGATGGGGACTTTCAGCCCCACGTAAGAGATGAGAAGGTTTAGGCTAAAGGGGGCAGAGCACACGGCACAAAGCCCTAAAGCCTGGTGAGAGGCAGGGTGGCATGGCAAGGAGGGGCCCTTTCCTCTAGACCACCAGCTTCTGGCTGGCCTTTTCATTTCTCCAGCTGTAAAATGGGACCAAAATGAATCCAGAATGTACACCAGCCCTGCCTTTCAGGGATCTGGGAGGTAAGCAAGAAAGTCCTTATCTCGCCAGAGGAAAGCAACAGGTGAATTCCACAAACAGCTGTCCCTAGATTATAAGGTAGTAATATCTCTTCAGAAAATAAAGGAGACCAAGGACAGGACTCAAATAAACACTCAGGTGTCCTGGGGCCTGTAGGCACTCTGAGACAACTATACTCAGCCACTAGAATCTCCCCTTGCTCTCTAGAAATAAAGCCTGGTAGACTGGGGCAGGGGTGGGGGGGTGGGGCGGCGAGCTGAGGGGTAGAGCTAAAACTCTGAAAACAGTCATCCATGAAAATGAAAATCATGAGAGCTTTTGGTACCTCTTAGAATCTTGGAAGGTATGTGGTGAAATGGTAGAACCAGAGTCAGGAGGAGTAGGGTTCAAATCCTAGCTCTAGCTGTGTGACCCCAGGCAAATGACTTACCCTCTCTGAGCCTGCTTCCTCACCTGGACAATGAACCGCATGAGACCACCTACCCCCCAAGGATGTCGTGGGAACTGAATGAGGTGGAGGAGGTCGAGGGTTTAGCACAGAGCCGGGAACACAGCAGGCGCCCCAGGAGTGCTTGTTCCTTTCTTCCTGTTGGGCAATGAGGTCCCCCCACCCCACCCAGGGAAGTGAGGTGAGGGATGTGGAAAGTCAAGAGCCTGAGCCTGGGGGGGGGGGGGGGGGGGGGGGCGGAGGGAGCCTCGCCCACCTCTCTGTGCTCCCTGACCGCAACAGCAGGTTGGCTGAGGAAGCTGCCTTCCGGGAGAGTTTCTGCCGAGGCCGCTCTGAGGGGGATGAGGAGGAGGAAGAATTTCTCCGTGGCCTGGTAGGAGCATAGTGAGCAGGTAAAGATCATTCCCTCTGCTCGTGCTCCCCAGTCCTCCGCCCCCCACCCCCCCACCCCCCAGCCGGGCTCTGCCGCAGGACACTTACGTGTCAGCACGCTGTGGGGGCTGCACAAGCCTGAGGACCCCCGGGGGGCCAGGGGAGCCAGTGCCACTGCTGCTGCTGCCCCCTCCTTCAGACTGGGTCCCACCAGGCTCTTCGCTGCCCCCCTGGGGGGCTGGGGGCCCATTGCTCAGGCCAGGGGGTCCAGGGGATGGCTCCGTCTCTGCCTCTGTCTCGGTCTGGGTGCCCCGGCTCACCAAGGAGGGGCCACATGTGGGTGGCAGTCCTGGGGGCGCTGCAGGGCTGCTGGGGAGACAGTGAGTCAACCTGATGCCCCTAAGAGGTCCCTGGAAGGAAGAGGAAGAGGGTGTGTGACAACAGGCATACCTGTCCCGTGGCGGAGCGGGCGTGCCAGGGTCCTGCAGGAGGGTGGGGGGCGTGTGCAGCCGCAGCAGGCGGAGGGCCTCTGCCAGGGCTGCCTTTACCAGCTCCATCTCCTTCTCCTGCACCTGAAGCCGCCGGCTCAAGGACTGCAGGGCCTCCTGAGCAGGGCCCTCACCTGGGAAAGGGGCAAGAAGCACTCAGAACGTGCCCACCCCCCGAAGAAAGGGGTTGAGGGGATTGTCTTCCCCCAAGTTTGCATTTGTCCAATAGGACTACCCCCTTCAAGCAGCCCCAGGCTTGGAGGCTGGCCCAGAGGGGAGGAGACGGGTGGTAGAGGATCAAGGGCCTCCTTCTGGCAGGGCAGGCGAGGAGCCTGGCAGAGCTCCCTTCCTGCTGCTGTCTCAGCCTCCGCAAAGGCAGGGAGTACCATGGAGTACCAGGGGGGAAATATGGAGTACTGCCCAGGAACGTGGGAACCACAGAGGGAGGCGCAGTGCGGGTGAAGGATGATCGCCCACCGCAGAGCAGGCTCAGGTCTCCCGGGAAGGCAGAGAAACTGAGGAGGGGGAGCGAAAGAAGAGGGGGACACGAGACTACAGTCATCTGTGGGCTCAGAGGTCCAGGAGAAGAAATAGAGAATGACCGGACAGGGTATCAGTGGAGACGGAGTCATAGTGAAGGTCCCAGGGTAACGGGTCAGAAGTAAAACGACCCGAAAAACCAGGGGAAGAGGCCCAGAATAACACAGGGGACAGAGAAACATCGAGGGGCCCAGAGTAACATGGGGAGTGGATGACGTTGAGGAAGTTCGAAATGACAGTAGGAGATCCAAATAACTAGGGAGAGCGACCTGAGAAACAGTGGAGGATGCTCAGAGCCCCTGAGGCCGAGGAGCACGCGGGGACGCCACCAGACAGCCGTCGGGCACTGGCAGCGGCCGACCGGCCGGCGCTCCGGGAAGGGGCACGCCGCCCGCCCCGCCCCGTACTCACCGGGCCCCCCGGCCCCGTCCATCCGGCCCCCGGCTTGCTCCGAGCGGCGGCGGCGGAGGAGGCTTCTAAGCCGCCGGGGCCATGGCTAGGGAGAGGGGAAGGGGAAGCACCCCGGGGCGCGCGCGCGCGGGTGCCGTGCCACCCCCCGGGGGCGCTGTCGGGCGCGGGGAAAGGGCCTGGAGGGGGCGCTGTGGGGCGGGGGCGGCAGGCTCCGGGGCCCGCCGGGGCCTCGGACTCTCCCGGGGCCTCTCTCGGCTCCCGGGGGTGGGGTGGCGGGGCCGTCCCGGGCCCCAGCGCCGCGGCACAAACAGGCGCCGGACGCGGAGCCGCCAGGAAGCGCGGGAGGGGGGGCGGGACGGGGGGGGGGCCGGGCCGCCTGGTAACCCCTCCCTGTCCGGGCCTCGCCGCTCGGGACCCAGGCAGGGCCAACCCGCTGACCCCCGGGCCCCTCCGGGCCTCCGCCCTCCAGGCCCTTCCGGAATCCCCGCCCCCGGACTCCCTGGGGTCCTCTCTGGTCTCCGTGCCCCCAGCCCTTAGCCCCTAGGGCCAGAGCCGACCGGCCCCTCCCCACTTCCGCGAGGGGGCAGGGGCGGGGTCACGAACTGGGCCCCTTGCCCGGGGGCGGGGCTTTTCCTAAGGGGCAAGGCCAAGGCATCTCGAATTGGGGCTGGCAGGGGCCGGGGCAGCGGGTTATTAAGGCTGGCGCGGGGCGGGGGGGCGGATTCCCAGGGTATTGGGGTCAGGGTGGCATTAGCCCAGCTCAAGCCGGTCTGGGCTGAGTCAGCGTCGTGCCGCGGCCAACCCTCGTCCCTGACAGCTCTGCTTTCCCTTGGGCGGAGATGGGAGATGGCCCCGGTGTTGCCCCTGGTGCTGCCCCTCCAGCCTCGCATCCGTCTGGCACAGGGCCTCTGGCTCCTCTCCTGGCTGCTGGCGCTGGCCGGAGGCCTCGCCCTCCTCTGTAGCGGGCACCTCCTGGCCCAGCTGTGGCACCTCCACACCTTCTTGTCTCCCTCCTGCCCATTTGCTGCCCTGCCCCACGTTGCCCTGGCAGCCGGTGCGGTGGCTCTGGGCACAGGGCTGGTGGGTGCGGGAGCCAGCAGGGCCAGCCTGGATGCGGCCCAATACCCTCCCTGGCGAAAGGTCCTGGGCCCACTGCTGGTGGTTGGCACTGCTGGGGGCGGGGGTCTTCTGGTCCTCGCCCTGGGGCTAGCCCTGGCTTTACCTGGGAGTCTGGACACCGGGCTGGAGGAGGGCCTGGGGACTGCCTTGGCTCACTACAAAGACACAGAGGTGCCCGGACACTGTCATGCCAAACGGCTGTTGGATGAGCTCCAGCTGAAGCACCACTGCTGCGGGCGCCACGGGTACAAGGACTGGTTTGGGATCCAGTGGGTCAGCAGCCGTTACTTGGATCCCAATGACCAGGACGTGGTTGAGTGAGTGTTTTGTTTCTCCCCTCCCTCCACTTCTCCTGGCCTCCTTCCCCTCCTTCGCCTCCTCCTCCCTTAAAACCCACCTCACCCCACAGGCAATAAATGGAGCGTAGTGACTGAGAGACTTGGTTACAGTTACAGAGCTGCCGTTTATTAGGTGTGTGACCCAGGGCATGTTACCAAACTGCTCTGGGCCCATTTCCTCCTCTGAAGAATGGATATAATAGGACCTATCTTACAGACTTATTGTGAAGATAAATGAATTATGCATGCCTCGCACACAGTAAACCAGTCAGCAAAGGTCTTTCGAGTTTCCCTTCTCAACTCCTGAGCCCCGTAGCTTCTCCCCCGGGCCTCTATTTCCAGACAGCCTAACATCCCTGCCCCTCCCTTTGCAGCCGGATCCAGAGCAACGTGGAAGGCCTATATCTGATCGATAGTGTCCCTTTCTCCTGCTGCAACCCCCACTCGCCCAGACCTTGCCTGCAAAGCCGGCTCTCAGAGCCCCACGTCCACCCTCTCTTCGATCCCCGTCAGCCCAACCTAAACCTCTGGGCCCAGGGATGCCACAGGGTGCTGCTGGGGCACCTGCAGGGCTTGGCGAGCATGCTGGGCAGCATGCTGGCTGTCACCTTCCTGCTGCAGGTGAGTTAGCAAAGTGTCTGAGGGCTCCCTCCATCTGGACCCCCTCACTGCCTCCAGCCCTGGCCCCAGGAGCAGTTGACTCTCCCTGACCTCTTTCCCCCTGCCTTCCCCACAGATTCTGGTGCTCCTGGGCCTGCGGTACCTGCAGACGGCACTGGAGGGGCTTGGAGGAGTCATCGACGGGGAGGGAGAGACCCAGGGCTATCTCTTTCCCAGTGGGCTGAAGGACATGCTGAAAACAGCGTGGCGACAGGGAGGGGTGGCTGACAGGCCGGCCCCGGAGGAGGCCCCACCAGAAGAGGCACCTCCTAAGGAGGGTCTACCTGAGGCCTAGTGGCCTGAAGCTTCGGGTGGGGACTGGGGGAGGGGGGAAGGGGAGGGATGGACAAGACCGGAAACCTCACAACTCCTTACCAAGGCTCCAGGTCGGGGAGGGGGGGGTCCCTGGGATTACAGGAGGGGTTAAGGATAGTCACGGAGCTGGACTGGCGGCGGCAAGAAAACTCGGTGTCCAGGGCCTAGCCCTGTGGCCAAGAGCCACCGGGGAACAGAAGGCACCTAGGGTGACGGGAAGGTGATGTGGGAAGGACTGGAGACTGGTCCTGGCACACAGACTCAATAAAGCTTTTGGACTGAAGCCACTGATCTTCCTCTTCCAGGGGGTGGGGGGCCCTGGGAGAACTGATTTCTGTCTGATAGAGAAGCCAGGACGCCTAGGTGTTCATTCTGGTAAGGATCAAACGTGAGAACCAGACACGCGCAAAGAAGGAAACCAGAGGCCCCTCCAGCTTGAGATCTTTTATTCTGGAGGTAGGACGGGGGTCAGCATGCTCAGGTGGGGAGGGTCCAGCCCAGCTCCTCCAGCCCCCCAGTGCATGCCCAGCCCCAATAAGTTACCCAGTTGCTCAGCAGCCCTCCCTCCTGAGTGTCTGTCCTTCTGCTCCGCCCCAGACGGGGCTGACCTGGCTCAACACAAGGGCTGCTTGTCCCCGGCCTGTGGGCCAGTGCCACATGGCAGGCTGGGGGAGGGGAGAAGCAGCTGGGCCACGCCCTGGGGCTGAGGGGGCAGAGGGGCCGCCCCTGGCTCTGAGGGGTCAGGATTTGGAAAACTGCCTCCTGGGCAGGCCAGGGACCCAGTCCCCCAGGTTCGTGCCTGACGCGGTGGTAGTCAGGGTGGGGCTGCCATCACACCTCAACGGCTGGGTCTGAGCCTCGGCCCTGCCGCTGTAGCTGCTCTTCCTGCTTCATCTTGGGCTTCTCTGTCCGTGTGTGCCACACCAGAACCTGTCCCGGGAGCGTTTCAGTTAGAGCTGGACCCAGCTGTAATGAGGCTTCTGGGGCCCTCAGTGTGGAACGGATTCTCTCACCCCCTCTACACACGCAGCGTTGGCTGCAAAGTGTGAAGGGCAGGGGCCTTTAGTGCCTTCAAATGGGGCCTTATCTATCCCCTTACCCCCTCTGTGCTACGTGGGTGCCCAGGAGACCTCTTTCCTTCCCTGGCTCCCAGCTTCCCCTACCGGAGGGTAAGCAAGGTTGAGTCCAAGCTCTGGAGGGTCCCTCCAGGTTCAAACACCCATCCTTTGATCCTCCTCCCCAAAGCCTTACTCCGCTTCCCCCATCACCATTCCATATCCCAGAGCCAGGTTTCTGCCCACCTCCAGCTCCTTACCCGAGTGCAGTTAGCTGCCCGTGGCTCCAGGTCCTTGGGATCCACGAGGTGGCTCAGGAGACTGCTCTCCAGGTGGCCCCGGGGAGCAGTGGCGTCAAACTGGGCACTGGGCTTAGCCAACAGCAAGGGCAGGGCAACAGCAAATCCTGCCATATCCACTGGGAAGGGCCTGCTGGGCTCCCATGCTGTGTGGAAGCCCACAACCCGGCCATCCTGTACCCGAGGGCCCTCAAATCGCAGGCCGCCCACCAGCCCCACGGGCCACACTGAGACACCACGGGTCCAGCGCATCTAAGAGAGGTCAGGAGAGAAGAAACAGACAGGGGGTGGCCCAGGGGCAAGGGAGCAGCAGGAAGGGCCGCTGAGGCCACTCTGCCCCACTGCTCCCCCTCCTCCCACCCGTAACCAAGGCAATCGGGGCGAGGCTGGCCCCACCTGCCTCTTTCCCCATCCCCCCACCACCACGGCTCACCTCCTCAAAGAGTTCCCGGCTGTAGGTGTTGTCATCATCTGCAAAGTACACAACTCCCCGCGAGCCGGCTGGAGGGGGGTCCTTCTCTCCCCCCACAGCGCCCCCTCCGCTCCGCAGCCAGTCCAGGGCCCTGTTCCGTTGCTCTACACCGCGGGGCCGAACCCAGCCGGGCTCACCCTCCCTGAGCCGCTGGGCCTTGGGGGTGAGGACCGCCAGGTGTGTGAAGAGGAGGCCCGAGGCAGCCAGCAGCCGGGAGACCAGCGGGGTGGGGCCCTCGGCATCCTCCACCAGCAGCCAATGCAGCCGGGGCACCAGGCTCAGTGTCTGGGACAGCCGCACCAGCTCCGCTTTCTGCACCAGCCTGCAGGGGGAAAGATGCAGGGGAGGGCGAGGGGTCGGCACCATCTGCTCACTCCGGCCCCTACACGTAGCTTCTCCTGGGTCCCTTCCAGTAACCCCCATGGTCTTTCCCAACCAACACCCAAACTCCCCTTCTTGCCTGTCAACTTCACACTCTGCTCACCTGCCCTGTTCCTGCAGCCCATGTCCGGCAGCCCCCTCAACCTCAGGGCTCTGGCCGTGGGAGACTACAAGTTAAGGGTACAGGCTTTGGAATCAGATCTGGGTTTGAATGCCAGCTTGGTAACTTAGTAGGTGAGACACTGGGGGAAATGGGTCAGATCTCCCCACGCCTCAGTTTCCTTGGCTATGAAAATGAGAATAACGGTACTTTACAACAATGTTGTCTTAAAGATTAAATTATAATGACTTTCTAAAATACCAGGAGGGCCAGGTCCTCTTCCTGGGTTTCCAGGTAGAGAGATTTAGAGGAGCCCTTTGCCTCATTCCTCTCCAGGGGAGGATTTGCCTGAGTTTAGACAAGAAACTGGGAAGGTGTGGCCCAGTCTCTTCTAGGCTTCTTTCTCCTGCAGTTTGGTCTGTCTGCCCCAGGGCTGGTGCTGTGTGTGTGGAAGGGGACAGGGTCTAGAGCTGCCTGTGCCTACATGGGTCAGCCACCTGATTCCAGGGAGGTGTTGTAAGGCTCTTTAGCTATAGATCCAAAACCATGTTCCCCAGTTGGTTTGTACCCCCCCCCCAAAAAAAACTACAATAAAAAAAAAAAGGTAAAGCCCTTACTTAGCACAGTGCCTGGTAGAGAGTAAACACACTGTAAATCATAGCTGGTATAATTATTTCTAGACCCTAGTATGACTGTAAGGCCAAGCCCTTTCCTATTTCAATTTAGTCAGGGATCCTCAAACTTTCTCACCAAAGGATCCCTGAGAGAGAGAGATCAAATGTTGAGGGCAAGCTCAACATTTCTTTGAAACTTTATTCTTCTATCTTAAAATTTGTTAGGAACTGTGTATTCTAGTTCAGAGTATACCCCTGTCTATTTTACTAGAAAAACAACCCTTTTCCCACAAGTCTTTGAGGAAAGAGAGGTGTGGTTCATTTATCCTGTCATTTGGCGTGCCCTAGTTTGAGGTACATCACCTGGCCCAGTGCCTTCCCAAACTCATCATCAACCCCAACCTCCTGGCCCATGCAGGCCTCTGGGGTACACCAAAGCCCATACCTGGCGTAGGTGGGGGTAACAACATAGATAGTAGGCAGGGCCTCAGGTTCAGGGGGCTGGGCAGGGGCAGGGGGTGGACGGCGGAGATCGGCTTGCAGCTGGGAAATCCTCAGATCCTTCTGCCGAAGCTGCTCTGCGGCTGCGCGCAGGGGAGGGAGGCAGTCACATGGCTGACCTGGTCCCAGGAAGCAGGGATGGGGGCAGAGACCACAGCATGTTGAGCATCCCAAAGGGGCATAACCTTCTTGTTCAACTCCTAGCCAGTGCAGGAATCTCCTGACAACCACCCGCACAGCCTCTTCCACACCCCTGATTGGGGGGTGGGGGGAAGCTCATGGCCTCAATCAGCAGCCCCCTCCAACTGCAATCAATTCCATCTGTTACAGCTTTCACTCGGATATTGAGCTAATCATCTGCGTCCATCCCTTCTACCTGCTGATCCTAATGTTGCCTTCTGGAGCCATAAAGAACAACTAGATCTCCTGAAACAGGGCTGTCTTTTAAATACCTGAGGATCAAGCCCTAAGCCCTGTCTCTCTGTGTAAGAGGCAACGTTCCATCTGTTCCCTTGGCTGTGTGACCAAAGACTCATAAAATTCATTGATTCCGTTATTGGATAAATATTTATTGAATGCTCCACGTGGAAGGCACAGCCTTAGGTGCTGGGGATGCAGCAGGGAGCAAAGCAGACACGGTCCCTGCCTTCATGGAGCTTTCAGTTTAGTGGCGGAGGCAGACACTGAGCAAAAAAACAAATTAGTAAAATCATTACGAATTGTGATAAGGGCCACGAAGGAAACACGTAAGACAGAGAATAAAAGAGAATCCAGAAAAAGAAGAGTTACGCTAGCTAAGGTGGTCGGGGAAGGCCTCTCTGAGGCGGTGACATTTGAGCTGAGACCTGAAGCATGAGAAAGCGGCGGCCAGGAAGAGCAGGGAGAAAAGCACCGCAGCCAGAAGGAAGAGGTTAAGAGCTTGAGAGAGCAACGAGCGTGGGCTTTCGAGAAACTGTCATGCAGCCAGTGCGGCCGGAGCAGAGCGAGCGAGTGGGAAAGGGAATGGGGTTGGAAAGGCTGACGGCCACAGGATCATGCGGGGCCTTGGGGACTCTTGGGAAAGAGTCCGCATTTCATCCGAGGTGCGGCGGGAAGCGGCGGTGCATCCTAGAGAGGGGTGAGCGCCGGCGGCCGCAGAGGGCTGTGGGAGGGCCGAGCCGGCTGAATGGTGTCTGCGCGGGGGTTCATCCCCAGGGCGGGATGCACGGCGGCGGGCGCCCTCTGGCTGGCCCGCCGCACCCCCGCCCCGCCCCGCTCACCGAGCTGCACCAACGCGTAGAGGAGGCCGGCGATCGACACCAGGAAGTAGGCGAGAAACACGTTCTTCAGCTTCAGCTTCATGGCCGTGCCGCCGCCGGGGCAGGCGGGGTTCGGGGGGACTAGGGGGTCCCCGCCCCCCACCCGCCAGGCTGCAGACCCCGCCCCTGCAGCGGCCCCGCCCCGTGTCCCGCCTTCCCCACGCTCCGCTCCACCGGCTCGCGCGAGCTCGGGTCCTGCGGCGCCAGCCAGGGCCCACTTCCGGTCAGTCTGCACCCCGCCCCTCGGGTTAATTTCCGGTCCCTCCGCCTAGTTCTGGGAACCACGGGAGTGGGTGACGTCACATCCGGCGTGGCGAGCTCGCGTGGCGGGCAGTGAGAAGCCTCGTGGGAGCGACTTTGAGACCTTCCCCTTGAACTCCAGTCCCTGTGCGCAGATTTCCTTATTTTCATTCATTCATTTTTCAACCACAGCACCCAGTAACAGTTCCACAAACGCTTGTTACACGAATGAATGAAATCTAGGACTTCTCCCGTGCCAGGCCTGTGCTCTGACACATCGCATTTCTCACTCTAATCCTGAGACAGGTGGTATTGTCCCCATTTCACGGACAAGTAGCCAAGGTTGACAAAAACTATGAAATTGCCACTATGCAGTTTTCTATGCCCCTTCTAGATACCTGTCTCCAAAATCTGTACCGTTTCCTCCGACCCACGTTTCTCAAACGGATGACAATAAGGGTGGCGGTGTACGGGGGGAGGGGAGGGAGTGGGGGAGCCAAGGCAGTGGGCTACCTCCCAGGAAACTGGCAACATTTGAGCTGAGAATTGCATGAAGACATCCCCTAACTACTCACGGGCACAAGCCTTCCGGGGCATTTTCCTAAAAAAAAACCACAACCCTCTTGTTCCTGGTAAAATCTCTAAAACCGGTGGTCTCCAAAATGGAGAAATCTATTTTCTGTCACCAAAACAATGGGGAGTTTTAAAAAGTGATGCTAGGGAGAAGCAGCCTTTTGCATGTGAACATGACGATAAAGCTGTTTCTATTCAAGAGGGACCCCCATCAGCTCTGGTCACCACTATTAACCAGGCCTGCTAAAACTTGATGAACTTGCTGGACTCCTCTATGAAAATATTGGCATCTAGCAAGTTGTGGTCACAGACTTGCACTCATTCATTTTGCTGAACTGATGAGGCTCATGCTGAAGTTAGATGAAAATGTCAGGCCCTTAGGCTTCTAAGGGTCTGTGGTTCAGGCCAGAATCAGAATCCGCACGTCAACAGTTATTTACTGGTTTCTCTCTTTATTGTTTCTCCTTTTATCAAAACCTATCGCAGCTGGGGGCCAAGAGGAAGTAAAAAAAATTGCCACAAATATTCCCCCTTGTCCCCAGTTAGTCCTCCCCCACCCCCCACCCAGGGCTTCAAGCCAACCCTGGGCACACATGATCATCTCCCCCCACCCTCAGCCTTCTCCCAGCAATAAATACAGGTGACCGTGATTTGACGAAACCACAACTGATTTCTCCATCTTGAATGCCCCCCGAGGGGACAAAAAGGGGGCAAAAGAAGTTTTAATGCCCATCTCCTCTTAAGGAAGAGTGGAAACTTCTTTCGCCCAAAGGACAGGGGAGACAGAACTGCCCCTGTCAGAACTGCAGCAGCTCTAGAAGCAATCGGGGAGAGGAAAGGTTGGGGTGACAGGGAAAAGGATGTTCTCCAGCAACCTCACTCCTTTGATCCATTCATCCCTTATCAGGTAAGGGGTGGTCCCAGTGTATCAGTGGGGCATAAAAAGAGGAGGGCTGACAGAGAAGAATCGGGAGAAAGAAACAAAAGGAGAGCAGTTTGGTGGGGAGGGAAGGGGAAGGAGAAAAGGAGCCCTAAAGCTCACTGCCCTCTTCTTCTTCCAAGAAATGGCATCAACACACAAGAGGTATGAATGAAGAGAGTCTAGAGGAGATTCGGGGCCCCCAAAAGAAAGGAAAAAGAAGGGAAAGCAAGGGTCTCACGGTCCCCAGGTCTTCACAGGCGAATGTGCTCCAGTTAGAGCAACAGAGTGTTGAGGGACGATGGGAGACTTGGTGTCAGCGGGGTGGCAGAGGTCAGGAGGTCACAGGAAGAATTCAGAGGGCAGGGACAGCTTCTCATCCTGTCCAGATGTTGGCAGAATTTGAGTCTTCAGATAAGAAAGGTGAAGTCTGGGGACGGTCAAACTCCAAGGCAGAAGGAAGAGGAACTCTCGTCACCACTGCGCCCTTCCCACCCCCCAACATCCCTTGTGTTATCGCAGGTGAATGCTCCAGTCAGATGCCACGTTGACGCCAGGCTTGCGCAGGATCAACACAGAGGTCTCAGGGTCATGCTGGAAGGACAGGCGGCTTTCAGGCAATCCTGGTGGAGAAAAAGAAAGCGTTCCGTGGTCACAGCAACAGGCTACGGCATAGCAACTGCTTTCCTACAGGCAAGGTGTCCCAGCCCTGCCTCTACTTTCCCTCTTTCCCCCGCCTGGGGGCCAGTCTCACCCCTCACCTTTTGTCTGGAGGACAACGGATGCTGGCTTTCCGGCCCCTATTATCACCACCCGCTCAATCCAGATTGGTGTCTCAAAGTGGCCTTTGGGGTCTGCTGAGCTAGAGGGGACAAAAACAGATGCCTGTCTGGGAGAAGGATGTCAGAGCAAAAGGAAGGCGGAGACCCAGAGCAAGGTCACATGCAAGGAAAGAGCACACTGCACTGTGAGCATCCCTGAGGCTACCAAGGACGAATGAGCACTTCCTCACCTGGAGACAAGGCTGTTGCCAGAGAACGAGAACCGACGCAACAGGAACTCATGGCGAGTCTGATAGTTGAATGTGTGCCCATCATCTAGAAAGAGCTCTCCTTGGGCCGTACCCTGAGCGGGAAGTGGGATCGGGGAGAGCCTGAGCCCAAGAGGGAGTGGGGGGCACTCCCCTCCAGGGACTGAATCCCGGGAAGGCAGGCAGAGGGCTGAGGGGGCTCCCTGCCCACGCGCTCACCTGGGGACTGAGAGCAACGAAAAGAGTGATGGGGTCATCCTTCATACAGTCAGAAGAGCGTCGCACTCGCATCCACCGAGCGATAACTGTCCCTCCACGCTGGAGCACAGGGATCTAGGGCACGAGCAGGGAACGAAGCTGCCCCACTGTCCAATCTTGGGCCCGGCAGTGTCTTCTGCTCTTGCCCATCTATGCCCACTTACATACTGAACCCCAAAGCACACACTCTCCCCTTCTGGAAACTGACAGGCAGATGGAGCCGGCAGCTGGGCCAGGCATACTCACACTGCTCAGGGTTACAGGCAGGTACAGGGTCTGGGGACCGTAATGCTTCTGGTAGCTCTGAATGTCATACCACACCTGTGGGTGGCAGAACACATAGGAGGTCACTGCACAGGGCCCCCATCCTATTTCCCCTCGTTGACCTTCACCACCTTTCTCCACCACACCCTTTCTTCCTTAACTCACCTCCCCTTGGCCGGGCAGATAGACCTGCACACCATGAGCCCCGGAGTCTGATACAGGGTGAACCAATAATGCATCCCCTAAAACACACCAGAATCAGCTGTGAACTGAGGGGACCAGTTCCCAGGCAGGGAGCACCAAAACGCCTGCCACCTTGGGCCACCGGCCTCACTCACTCCTCCCTCCCGGGGCATCCACAGACACCTCTCCCACAGGTGCTTACTTCTTCTCAGCCCTATGCCAACCCACCCGCAACTGTCCCCTCCATTTCTCACCAAGCAGGAACTGATCGTCTATACTGAAGGTGGTCACATCCTGAGGATAATGTACCCACAGGGGCCTAGGAAAGAAGCAAGACAACAAGGGAAGACACCTGCTGTCTTGGCAGAGGTCAAAGATGCTAGCCCAGGAACCAGAGATAAGAACAGCACAGGGTACAAGCCAGGAGCTTGCGCCAGACAGCCCAACTGCACAGTAGGCCTCAGCTATGCAACCTACCCTTGGTCTAGTCATTGAATTTCCTAATCCATCTGCTTGCCTCCTCCTCCCCCACCTCCTCCTGAAACTATTCCACACGGCAACATTCCAGTGGCCATTTCATTATCCTGCATCAGGTCGAATTTTCCTCTCCTACGTCATCTCCTACCTCTCCCTCTGGGTCCTTACCCTGAGACACACTGGTCTTTCTATCCCTGGAATACAACAAACTCATTTCCACTTTAGGATGTCTGCACTTGCAATCTCCTGTGCTGGGAACTTTCTTCCTCTAGATCACAAAAGTCCATCTTCCTCATTAGTCAGGCCTCATCTCACATGCCCTTTTTTGTGTGTTTTAAGTAGGTCCTACACCCAGCATGGAGCCCAATATGGGGCCTGAACTCATGATCTTGAGATCAAGACATGAGCTGAGATCAAAAGTCGGACGCTTAACCAAATGAGCCACCCAGGTGCCGCTCACATGTCCTTCTTCTTAAAAAGGCCATTTGTAGAACTAAATTACATTACCCTATTCAAAGAGCTTATCACTGTTGGCAATTTTCTTTTTTTTTAAATTTTTTATTTATTTTTTTTAAAGATTTTTATTTGAGAGATAGAATGAGATAGAGAGCATGAGAGGGGGGAGGGTCAGAGGGAGAAGTAGACTCCCTGCTGAGCAGGGAGCCTGATGCAGGACTTCATCCTGGGACTCCAGGATCATGACCTGAGCCGAAGGCAGTTGCCCAAGCAACTGAGCCACCCAGGCGCCCTTTTTTTTTTTAATTTTTTTTTAAAGATTTTATTTATTTATTTGACAGAGAGAGAGACAGCGAGAGAAGGAACACAAGCCAGGGGGAGTGGGAGAGGGAGAAGCAGGCTTCCCGCAGAGCAGGGAGCCCGATACGGGGCTCAATCCCAGGACCCAGGGATCATGACCTGAGCCAAAGGCAGACACTTAACGACTGAGCCACCCAAGCGCCCTGGCAATTTTCTTATTTGCATATTTGTGTACATGTCTGTTTGTCTTACTCCCAAGGATGGAAGGATACTTGTCTGCCTTGTTTTAGGCTCTGGGGACAGTGATGAACAATGCCAGGCAGCAATGTTTACTGCTACTCAGTCTCTTCTTACTCTCAACCTTGAAACCAGAATTTCCCTCCTTTAAAAGGCCCTGGTGAGTGGCAAAAGAGGCCCAGAGATGGAGCCCAGTCCCCACTGTCCCTCAGCCACCTCAGCCCACTCTATGCAGACCCAGCTGAATGCCTCACCTCATGACAGGAATGCCTTCACGATGGGCCTGATAGAAGAGAGTGTACCAGAAGGGCAGCAAGGAG